TGGCCCTTAAAGTTCAGGAAGTTAATTGTGCAGCTGTGCGGTACGTCATTTGTGGATGTCGGCTTCGGTGACCCGATAAATGGAAAGTTGCTGGTGTGCGAAAACGACCCCGCTAAAAGAGTTAAATTTGAAATCTTTTAGTCGCATATGAGTAGGGAAAACTCCCTTAAAATTTCAACCTCCCAGCTTTTCTCGTTCCTGAGTTAGCAGTTTTCCCGCCAAAACTTTTACTTGTCCGACGTGCTCATGCGTGAGGCGCAGACGTGCGTGACAGTTGATATAATGTTCTTGGGGTCGCACTTGGCCAGGGAACTCACTAGCTAAATTTCAGCATCAAAGCCTGCGTGGTTGGAGAATAAAAATACCCGGACAGATGAATACACATACATACACAAGCATACATACATAGAAAGGGCCGTCACAACATACGTTTTTGCTTCCTGTTGCAGCGCTCTAGCGCTACAGGGCAAAAACGCAAATTAAAAGACATCGCATACGGTTAAGATCATAGGCAGGCAGGGCACGTGCACAGAGCGAGACAATTCAAGATGAAGAGAGCAAAAAACATCGACAGCAAGTGCTGATTGGCTCGTGTGGGTCAAGTATAGTTAACGATCAAAATGTGACGTATGGTTAGCGCAAGCACTTTAGAAAAACTGTTCTTAGAAGCAGTAGTCGGAGACGACAAGTGGTTTTCCTGAAGGCCACTGACCATCAAAGGCTTCGCTGCAGAACTGTTCAAATAGATCAAAGTCGATTACTTTCCGCATATGATAGAACTGGCGGCAGAACCCGCGAGGAGCGCATACTAGTAGCAACAGATCCGTAAGCATCAGACAACAGCTAAGACGCATTTTCACGTATCACTTAGCTATGAAAATCGATACACTGATTTCGGATGACATTTCCGATAGTTTTGGGTTATTATCAGTTCTATGGGTAGCTTTCAACTGCCACCCTCATCTTCCAGATACAAATGCTAGTTTGCGTGGCGGCTTACGTTCTCCCGCTTGCAACTTATCTGTAGTGCCTTGCAGAAATGTTTGCAGTGAGTCGGTCATCCTTTGTCTCTAAATGAAATTTTCGATCCGATTTAAGCTTGATCGATGCTTAATCAGCAATGTATGAAGCACCATTTAAGTGAGTCGGATCGGAAATTTCATTTAGAGACAAAGAGTGCCCGACCCACTACAAAAATTTGTGCAGGTCAGTATAGATAATTTATACGCGTCGTGCTTATCCTAGCCATACAGACACAAACCACATGTAATAATATAAAAGCAATGTAAAAATATTCGCACGTATTGAACATATACGGACAGTTACACCAGTTTAAGACTTATAACTGTGCAAATAATCAACTGTAAGCTTTTGAGAATAGTTCGGGTAGAACCGCGCAAAAATGCAGTTGTAAATACAAACAACTTCTGTATGGCATTTTTTGTTTCAATTTCCCATGGAAAAATGATTTGTGGCAGAGCTTCAAAAGGCACCCCGAAAAAATGTGGAGGAAGCTGATGCAGCGCAGTCCTATAGTGAGCAATGTCAGCCAGTAAACATTACACTCTTTCAGTGTTTAAGTTGCGAAATTGCAGCCATTAGCTGTTTTGAGGGAAATGAAGGCGAGATGCAGAGAGTGCATAATTTAGACTTTGCTTGTCCAAACCAGAGCGGTCAATCAGAATTTTGGCAAAACTTACCGACTGAGAATCGAGTGCATTAATTTGAGCAGCAGTGGCTGTCTTTTTTTCACGTTTCTTTAGGACGTGCTCATTTGCATTTTTGCTTTCACCGGCTTCTTCTTTCTCTTCTTTCCAAGTAACACTTTTACGCACGCGTTTCTGGCCTTGCTTCTGTGACGGCATTGGAGCGGAATTTAAATCATCTTGAAAAGAAATGCAGAAAGAAAACTCGACTATGCCAGCTCGAATATTACATTTTTCAACTCCTCCTTAGTCATTACAGGAGTCTGGACCCCCCTTTTTTCTTT